GCAGATACCCCTTTGACGAGCATAACGTTAGTAACCCGTAACATTTAAACAAACTTGAAGGCACCTTTTAACAACTCAAAGCACACAGGTTGATCAATACTTCAACCTGTTAAGCCTTATCCTCAGAAGACACTTTATTACAGAGTTTTCCTACCGAATTCACCAGTTTTTCCATTTGAAAAAGTCGTTTTTTAATCCGGGCTTTAGAAACAGCCTAAAGAAAATAGGTTAATCTTTTCGTTTCCATTGCAATGCAACTTTTTTCCAAAAGAAAAGATCAGAATCTCGACTCTTGTTACCATAACCTTGTTTGTCAGTGTTTGGTCAAGTATAGTTTATTTTTTTCTATCAATTCATTTTTCATTAGCCAAAAATAATTCACACAGCCGTCAATACAAAAAAATTTTATCCGATGTTCAAGCTTTAATTACATGTTGTATAAGAGGTAATTATTACCACAAAAAACATGATTAAATACAAGTCACTTTGTATTCGGAAAATTGTCATTGAAAATTGACATACACAGATTTTTTCTTTCGGAAAAAAGGTTAAAAGCAATGGAAACTGTAAGATTAACTAGACTGCTTCAAACCCTTTCTCAATCCGGATTAAAAACCGACTTTTTCACATGGAAAACTGGTGAATTCGGTTGGAAAACTCTGTAAGACTTAAACCGAACGAGCTAAGAATGTATTTGCTGATTTTCATCAACTATCTTATTCATGTTGAAAAACGAATTAATAATTATGAACTCGCGTAATGCGCCCAAGTCGAGCAGGGATAGACCTACCCGACGAGGCTTTGGCATCTTGCCTCAGATGCCATATCTGGTTGGTTTCACGTCTTTATCACTCACACTGGCAGTATAAAAGTTACTTGAACCCAAGTCGATACAATTTCAATCCAATTTGCTACAAACTCACTCTGAAACTTTCTTCAATTTTAACCTGAAACTTTTGTGTCTTTTGTATTTAAATATGACGATTGAAGTTCTACACTCAGTTTTGAAATTGAATTTGCAAATACTCAACTTTGTATGTTCTTAATTTCCGTTGATTGTTGAATAAATGATTTATCAGTTCACTTCTTCCCTTATATAACTTACAAAAGGCAGGTTCAAATTTCGATTTCAATGCTTGCAGATTGTGATACTTTCCAAAAAAAGTCAATAAATCTTTGGTCCGTTTAGTTGTTTACAATAGCAATCAAAGTTTACAAATAAATTACTCGGCAATCATTAATAAACTGTCAATATTGTTACAATCTTAAATCATTGATTTATAAACAAGATTGAAAAGGTTGACTCAACAACAAAAAAGGTAGAAACGGATTTGTTTTGAAAGTTGTTACAATAAGTAAACAATTTAAACTTTTTGCATTTCTTCAAACATGATTTGTTTTAAATGTAAATCAACAATAGCCAATAGTATCAATAATATCTGAATGACTGGGAATGACGAACAAGAATAAAAATTATTATTCCATGCATCATAATGAGAAGGAAAGCAAAAGGGAAACGGAAAAGTGTTTTTCAATCAAAGTTAATTTCAACATTTGACTTGATATTTTGAATGTTAACTTTTCACTTCTTTGCTGTTACACTTTTTTGCTCAACTTTCTTCTTCTTTTCAAGTTTAACTTGTCAACATTTTTTATGCTGTAAAACTTTATGTAATATTTCAATGAATGAATGAGAAAAATGTTTCTCTCTTCACTTCTAGTCAGTGTTGAACAAAAAAGGGCAAAAAAATAATATGATTGTCAGAAAATGTCTTGTTGCTGTTTCTTTTGTAATATTTTTTACTTGAAAAAGTGTGAAAAAAGTGTCTAAAATCATCAAACCAAGTCTCATGATACAGTCACAAAAGTAAATGTCACTTGGAAATGAAAAGTTTTTTCTCTTCATATCAAGAAATACGGATTATAAATGAATGTATATGAATATGCAATTGGTAGTCTATTTGGGCTTTGCTTTGAATTAGTTTTGCCTTTCTTTACCAATTCCTTGTTGTTGTTGAAAAAAGTGTCATTGATTCTGTGAAAGGTTGACACATTTTGTTGTTGATGAAAAATTTTCTTCATCTATTTTTAATAAAACAAAATTGCAATTCAATTTCAACATTTTTCTTTGCCTCTCAACTTGTCTTGTATTATATCAATATTTATGTAAAAATTGAAATGACTCGGGAATATGAATTCAATTGATTCAAAAGAGTAATTGAAACGTTTACTTTTGGGCGAAAAGTTGAAAGAATTAATTTCTTCAGAATTGGTTTTAAGGTTACAAACGGAATTCGTCACGTTGTTCCCTCTATAAAGTGTCATAAAAGTATTAATATTTTAACTTTGCTCATCAATTCAACTTTTCAGTTTCAATTGCATTCAAGTTCGTTTAAAAAACTGTCTGCTGATCTTGATGAACCATTCAGTAGAGTATTTTCAGTTGTCGAAAATTTCCTTGGACAAGTTTCATTCTAAAATTAAAATGATCGTTACATAACGTGTAATGTGACTTCGAATCGAAATCGGTTCCATCAAAAAGGTAGAAGACTTTTGTAAATTTAATAGAAATGTTTTGTTTTTCTCAAAAATTTAATTGGTTATCATGAAATGTAAATATTCCGAATTTATATGAAAAGGAAAAAAGTTAAAGTGTATTCGATCTTTTTGAACTCAATATTTTTAGAAGTTTGCCTTTTCAGGCAACAAAGCCTAGTAAGATGCCATTTTTAGCATCAAAAACATTCGGTTGGTATTCAAGTGATCATTTGAGATTAAAAAATTGGACAAAAAATGTTGCACCGATTCGAATCAGAGAAATAAATTGATAAAACTTAGAAAGAAGTGAGAACAGAGTCAACAGATGTAAAAGCTGATTGAATCGTCTTGTATTGCTCTTGACTCTTTGGTTAATCCATACATCTAGCAAAGTAAACCAGTAAATAGACTACAAAATGTCTTGAATACAGAGCTTATTGGAATGCTTTTCTGTCGCTCTTTTCCAGTCCACTCGTTTTGATCTGTTGATAGCGATAATAGGTTTAGAAATTTTTTTACACTTTATTTAAAATGTCCTGTTCTTTTTGTCCACCATGTTGGCCATTTTGGTGATAATTTTTTTGTACTCTTTTACCAACTATTTACAGGTGATAATCCACTTGAAGAGCAAGTTTTTTTTTCGTTGACTGGACAATTTTCCCTTTTTGCACAGTTTATCAACTGCAATCGCCGCTGTTTGTTATTGTTGTTGTTGCACTTTTCAATGTGAACAGTAGCAAAGTCTGAACGATAAGATGAACAAAAATATCATCATCTCATGTCTTACGGATCAATGAGCCTGTCAACAACAACAGGATCGTTCAAAAGACTGTAATAATGGAAAGCTTCAGGCTTTGTAAACAATGGTAAACATGAACCAGTACATTGATGCAAATACATATAAATCATTTTATCGCTTTACAGGGCCAAACAGTAAAGCTCAATGTTGTTGAATCGGTCATCATAACCATCATGATGGGCATCACGATGCCTCTCCTAAGGGCTTAACCTGTCAACTCGTGGCAACTTTAAATTTCAAATTAAAGGCTCCCTCTAGTGAGGTTCATGTCTAATATTGCCAATGTCAAGTCTTCAACTTCATCTTCATCATCCTTTCTCTCTCTCTTCTTTTCCCTTCAACTTTTCTTTTCTTTCACCGGTCAAAATTGACAGTTTACCAAAGGTCATTATCATAACCTTTAATCAAAACATTGTGTTAAACATCTTTACTTTCCAGTCTATCAACATGTCAAAACTGTCCATTCAATTGAATACATGAACAACACCAGTAACACCAGCAATTGTAAAGCGCCACTTCACGAGGCCAACGTTTTACGAGGCAACTTTACATTCTCATGTTGATGGGCAATATGAGGAGGAGAAGGATGATGATGCTTGTCATGATCATCTTGATGTTTCCTCTTGGATCACAGCTAAAAGATTGATTGATGTCGGCTAACATTCATGGCAACTTTTCATCAACAGGTCACTATTGCATTTAAATTTGAATTTTCAATCAAATTAAAAACGTAAACTTGCATCATTGAAATCCTACAAAATTTTGCAATTTTTTCTCTCTACAATCAATTGGTTTCGCATTTATCAACTATACTTTAAATTGCTGATATAAAAAAATTTGCTCTTTCTCGTTGTATTTCCATTTACTGTTATTATAATAATTAAAAGTGAAATGAAAAAGTGATTCTTAATTACTAACAGTTAACAATATAAATGAACATTTGATTTTACACTCAAATTGCGACAAAACTTAGAAAATTAAAACACAGCATGAAAATTGGCATTAATCTAGTTTCAACTTGAGATTGGTGATTCTCAAGTTATTACAACTGAATTCGAAAATTATTAAAAATTACTGGAATTTACAGACCACTACTTATGAGAGATTTTTTGCCTATTGAGAAAAGTTTCGAGGATTTCCCATCTGCCCGTGATTTTCGTAAAGCCGGGTGCACTTGCATAAGCTACCTACCTACCTACCTACCTAAGATAGCAACCCAAGCTCGACAGTGGACTGTACAGAGATACAAGCGCTGTAACAGTTTGCTATTTGTATGTTTTCAACTGCTCTAGATCAACTTGTGTGAATTATCAACGGCACATCGATATTTATATAATGGTGTTGCCAACAATAACCGTTTCTGAGCAAGAATTAGCTAAAATCGTTACCGATTTTCCTCAGTACATTTCTTTGCTTGTTAGATTTACGTAACATTTTGAAAATTTATGAAGTGAGTTTTCATGATCGTTCAAGCTCACAAAGTATCTACTTTTAACGTAAATGTCACAGTTTCCTCCATAATCCTTATGTAGAAAAAGATGCAATGCAAGTGATGCTACTTGAGTCTACGAATGTTCATCCATTAATCAAACAATAACGAGTTTACTTAGCCACTATATCCGTTTTCTCATTTTCTATCTGCGTAAACTGATATCAATCTCAAAAGCAATAACAATTTACACCTATGTTCTGATAGTCTGTGTTCTTGAAATTCAAGCTGTTCAAATTGAACATATCTATATTAAACCAATGCATTGAGGATTTCACTCAATTCGAAAAACATAGTTATAAAGTAATTGAATAGTAATTTTATATTGTGCTGAGAATGAATCAACTATTTGTGTGTATTTTTATCTTTTCTGGATTTATTGTGAGTCTTACGATAATTTTAATTCTCATTATTTAATATAATTTTTATTCTCAAATCAAAATTGAATGTAAAATGTGATCATTGTTAATTTAATTTTTTAATTTGCAGATAATCAGTGCACTTGAGAATGCACGTTGTTCGAAAAGCGAAGATTGTGACGAGGATGAATGTTGTTTGAAAATCTTACCTTGTGAGTATTTAATTTTTTTTTGATTTGTATTTGATTTTCAATCTGAATGTTTACTTTACCCGTTTACCCTTTACTTACAAATACTTTTACGTTTTAGAATCTAATTCTTCGATAGACATTTGACATAGCTTAACTTTGTATATAGCCAGTATAGCTATCAATAATAAGGTATCTTATCTCCATAAAGTGTACTTCATTATTTTATTGCTTGACTGTCGATGGTAACGTGGAAAGAGCTTGCTAAGCAAACTTGGGTCAACCAATCATAGCAATTCTGTGGATATCGATTTTAAAGATTGTGTCAATGTTTCCCTTAGATCAGAATAGATAATATGACTTAATTTTTGTTCATTTCAGTTGTGTCCTCAAAATGCAAAAAATTTCAAACTGAAGGCGAGGCATGTGTCCAGGAAGAAGAATCAAACGAAAATGGTGTTTATTCTTTAATCTGTCCATGTTCAAAGGGTTTAACATGTAAGCCCAAAGAGAGGGATGAAGACGATGGCACACAAACAATGTTCGATTCGAAATGTAGAGCATAGTAAGAGTGATCAGGTTAAATTTTGTCATGAATAAGAAGCATAACTCTTCTTAATTTATAACTATTAAAATACCAATTGTTTCAACAGATTCAATAATTACAACGTTGTTAACGTTTATTTTTCAACCTTTCGTGACCTAGAGACTAGAAACTTTTGCCCACGAAATCGATACATTGAAAATGTAAACTTTAAATTTTTATGGCTTATTACCGAAGTTCAAAGCACGATTACTCGATCACAACTGATAACAGAAGGTTGCACATTTTTACAAACCTTTGTTTGATTGAAAATTCTGATATGACTTTCCAACGACCTAAAATGATACTGTGTGATTCCTGTGAATATGAAAAAAATTATCGTCATCTATGAATCCCCATCTTGAAGATTTCATAATGTTACACGTAGTGAATTTCCGGCATAAAGAAATTACTGGCTTCAGCAATCAGAGCAAATGGTTACGCAGCTATACAGCTGCGAAAATGGAGTCAGACCTCGAAACCATATCTTTGGCGCATTCTTTGGTATTCAAGCATATCAATAGTCATTTTTTTAGATAAATTGCGCACAATAAACATTCATTCAATGTCTTGACCAGTGCTTCTCGAGTTGATGTTGGTTAGCAAAAAATATATCGAATACACCTCAATTTTTTATCCTTGTCAGCCGCTGATTAAATCTTGTTTAGAATACTAGTTAATACCAAAGTCAATTGCATTTCCCCCTTGTATAAACGGTCATTCCTTAGTAATCTGAATTTCGAAAATACTGATGATATTTATCTTCATGGTGTATCATCATGGGTTTCACGCGACATCAAAATTTTTACCAGCTTAGAATCAGCTTATCTTGGCCAGTTAAAGAATCATTTACACGAGCTGTTAAACATGATACAAAATAGCTAAATTGTCAACCGTTGAATCGATATTTTTGTTTGAACACAATAAAAGGTGAAAATTAATAGTCAGTCAATTGAATTTATTCATCATCATCATTTATCTCTCTCTTAACGCATTTTTTAATCATTCATTTTAACTGTTGCTGTTAACCAATTCATTTCCAACTGACAGTTGATCGGTATTAGGTAACAGTTTTACCACTCTCTATGTTGGCTGTTAAGACAATTTGACAAGTTTTGACATGAAATTATCAACATAATCATGATTAATATCAATTGCACCTTGACTTCAATCAAGCAAATTGTATCACATACACACATCCACATCACATCACAATAAAAAATGTACAATTTTTAATGCGTCAGAATTTAGTTTATTGCTACTCATTTTTTTGTGCATCAACATTTTCTGGTATCAAAAACAAGGTAAATGATCAATCAAAATAAAACTCAATTCTTTCCAATTAAACAATCCAACAACGACGGAGGAAAATCATCATTCTAATCAATAATAAATGTCAATTTGAACAAAATGATGTCAACAAATACAAGGGTAAAAAAAGGTAAAAACGCAGGTAAAGTCAAGTGCAAAGTGTTACTTTTCGGTGCAAAATATTCATTCATTTTCATTCTTATGCACATGTTTCCATTGTTACCATTTTCATTTTTATCTTCAACCTTTTCATCTTCATCTTTGCCTTTCCTCAAAAAAAATCTTGTTACAACAAGAAAAGGAAGTTGAAACAAAAAGATGAGGATAAAAGTTGATGAGACAATTGATTGAAACTCTTTTTACCATCCTTCATCCTTTCCTATCTAATACTTCAAGTTATGTACTTAGCATTTACAACAGAACAAGGCCCTTTCTTTGATTATAATTGAACAATTAAACTGAATGTAAATAACTTGATCATATTAAATAAGCTCGATAAAAAGGTAATGTAACACATGAAAAAAGAGTTTACAACTTGAACCTTTTTCCCTTTACTTTTCTTTCTTTTACTTTATATTTTTACAGCTTACAACAGATGATTGTTATTAACGTTACTTTAACACAATTAACTTTATTGGTTTATTACACCGTTCAATTAAATGATGATGATAACAATTATTTAATTGGTTTCATTTAATTATCTTTCACTTTATATGATCACACTTGCATTACAATTGACATTTTATATTTACCTTTCAGGTCTCTTCTTCCGATGACAATTCAATATTGCTCTGTAATTGTACCTCATTTCTGGTGTTTACAGTTTAACATCAATTAACAATTTAACAATTACCATTAAGTGAGAAATTAATTTTACCTTTTTTCATGTTATTTATTGTTGCACAATTTATTGCTTATCATTTGTTAGATTTACTGGTTTGTTCAAAAAGGTAATTTGGTTTGAGAGGTAAAATAAAAACCAAAAGACAATCAACAGACGAACAAGATTTTCGGTCAATTTTCACTCAAATCGGTTAGTAATTTGAATACAATAAAGGGCTCAAAATGTTGATGAGGATCAATTCAACTATAAGCCAGTCGATGGCTCGTTTCATGTTAAACAATGAAAACTAATTCCATGTATATTGAGTTTCCGTAAAGCATTTGATTGCCCTTTCAATCGGGTTCATGAAAAAAGAAAATGAAATTTTATTGTTATTTAAGTAGCTTTGCTCGCCAAAGTAATTATCATGAAAATTTATCGCACTTTAATAACTCTAGGTAACCTGGCACGATTAACTTTCTAAGGCATTTAGTCCATGTAGTTGAACCGGGGAAATTTTTTTCAGAGAAACTTTCGTTGGAGTCTGGAGTCGAAGGAAAATGAAAAAAGTCAATGGAAGTCGAGATACAAAAGTGGTTATTGGTAATGAAATGAAAATATTGAAGCCACAATTTAACCTAGAGCCACCTCACCAAGAAAAACATGGAAGACAAGTTATCATGAGAGATACAAAGTGTTTATTAGACTAAAATTCATGCTTCTCCTTATTAACTTTTGATTCTTGTGAATCCATTGCAGCTCACACTTATTTTGCACAAACATCTACAGCTTTTCCCTTTAAAAAAGTTGTGATGTTTGCTTTTCAACGATCGGTTGAATAACCAAAACTGAGTCACATTTGAATTTGTGAAAAGTTTTTCATGTAAATTCCAGCTTGAATCGAATCAGCTTAGATGAAGTTCACGTGGTAACCACATGCTAACGCATTTGTTTTATGTAACAACAAAAAAGTCTCATGTTGACGCTGGTTACAAGCTGAAGACTGAAAAAATATGGAATAATCTTTGATTTCAATGTTCCACTCATAAATACTAACCTAAATGGCACAAGAAAATCATTTTAATAACAAATAGTCGCCGAAATCAATCTGGCTCCAGTAATTTCCATTTTCAATTTCTCATCGTTTTCTGTTGTTTTTCCTTACCTCCAACATTTGTGACAGCTTCTCATTTCAACATTTCATTCCTAAGCAATACTTATAAATCAATGACATGACATCCTACTGAATATTATGAATTTGAAAATAATGAAAAGGCGATCATGTTGATTACAATCTTTAACTAATCAAGTTTCATCTTCAGGGTAAATCACACTTAAATGTTTGTTGAACAATTTTTCAACCTGTCTGATTGATTGATAAGAAAAGCAGAAGAAGCAAAAAAGATTAAAATGAATAAAATAATTTCTGTTCCTTTAATTGCCAGGTGTGATTGAATCCGTAGAGTTACAATAAATAATTAAAGGTAAAACCAGTAAACTAAGTTTAATGGTGTTGATGGTAAAATGATATTATTACAAGGATTGATTAAACGTTGGTAAAATGATTGAAAACGATTTCAATTTTTTACCTTTTAAAGTACAATTTTGTTAATTCATGTTGACTCAAGGTTAATCAATTTGATACTTTTCATTGTAAATGTGTGACAAGTTTAATGTTTGTAACCAGAAATTGTGAGTTTCAAGTAAAACTTGAATTGCAATCAACTTTCTTTATCAATTAAACTTTTTATCTCTAACGATTAATCTTTTTTCGTTGATCCAACTTTTCAATTTCGTTGACTGTTGAAGATTTTAATCGTTTTGCTCATCATTTTGATGTTTTACCAAGTTCCTGATTCATACTCATCATCACTCTCATTATCATCTTCATCTTCAACCAAAGTGAGGTTCACTTATTTTTCAGGTTTACACTAATTAAATCTTGCCAAGTCACTTAAAAATCAATTTGATTAACTTTAATTAACTGTTAACCATAATTGCAAGTCCAGTTTAAAGAGGAGTAAAAGTTTTCACTTTTCATTTAATGAATGCAAAAAGTTTCCACCTTTACTTGAGTCAACATTTACAGCTAATTGACTTTTCCATCGTTTCAATTGTAACCATCATTTGAAACCCAAAAAGACCAGAAAAGTGATAAAAGTCAACTTTTTGATTTATCTTTTATTTCGCTGTTGTATTTAATCATACTCTTTACCTGATTCAGTTACAATAATCAATATTGATGGTTATGATGAAGATAATAAAGAAAGATTGATGGAAGTTTTTATGCAGATTTTTGCTCATTTACAGTTAATCTGATGAAAGGTGAAGCTGACTTTGATTGGTTCAAATGTTGATAAATGATGAATTAAGATGATGCTTATAATGATGGCTTAATGTTGAGAGGTTCAAGTAAAATACTGGTTCTGATAAGATATTGTTTACTGTCTTGATCTGATTGAATCAAGTCTAATCTGGATAATCCTGTAAATAGTATTGATACAAAACTCTATTTTGATACAAAGAAACAAAATCCATTTCATTAATCATTAATCTTTCCCTTAATCACATCATATTCATCTAATTGAAACGTGATTGCATTTGGCCAAAATCATTGGAAACAATTGTAACAGTTGAAAAAGTTTATTTTTTAGGGAAAACTTTTTTCTTCCAAGTTTAAGCATTTAAATGTTTTTTTTCATTTCTGTAAATCAATCATTAAACAAAGTAAAGGTTTAAAAGTTACTAAATGCTACTGATTGATGTTGATCAGCGAATCACTTGAAACCATCAATAATCATGAATCTAAACACTTGATTGTGATTAATGAAAAGCTCTCTTCAACTGTTGAAATGATGAGTTTCTCATGTAATTTATCTGGCAAAATAAACTTGATTACTTTGAAAGGAATCAATAAAATGGTGAAACTTGAAAAGTTGATTAAAGTTGCTTTTGTCTGATTGTTGACATTTTGCTTAAACACTTAATCGTCAGATTAGTAGCGCTCTAATCTGTTTATAATTGCACTTGAACACTGATTAACTGATTAATCAATGATTCTCGTTATAGAGATGAAACATTAATGGCATTGAATGGAACAAGAGAAAAACGAAAAGAAAAATGATTTATTGTTATCAATGTGAATCGCAACATTTATGGTAATGATGATTAATGATTAGTACAATTATAATTTCAGATTAATGTGATTATCTGTTGAAACTGTCTGTGTCAATAGTTTCAAAATGATAATTGATTTGATTGGAGAAGAAAAAGAAAAAGAAATTAAGTTTTCAAAAAAAAATGGAAAACATTTAATTGTAATTTGAAAATGTTCATCTCAACCTTTCCCTGTTTAATGTCAGTTTTTGCTTGGTGATGATGATGGGTCAATAAAATGATGCTTAACCATTGCTTTGCGTCATTTTTCTTGTTCAGTCTTTTCATCATGAAATTTCATCAATCATCTCATTCTGCCTTCCCTGATAGCATCATCACCAGAGTGAGTGATGATGGAGTGAACCAAAATATCCAACATACAAAAAAAAGCAAAGAAAGAAATGGTTTGAAAGCTAAGCTGTAAAAGATTGGCTTTTATCCATATTCAGACCAAGGTAAACGAAAGAGCTTATAATATTAAAAAGATGAGGAAAAAGGAGAAGAGATCATTAATCATAAGCATGATGGGATGAAAGTAGAAATAAAATGAAAATTCATTCCATCTTTCACTTTTCACCTTTTTCTTCTTCTTCTTCTTTCCAACTTTAATCAAACATTTAAATTCATTGGGAAACCTTTAAAAGACATGATAATTATCAAGTGTTTATCGTGCGTTTTGTTTACTGATTATCAGTTTCAATCAAATGGTTAATGTTGCTCAGCATAAATCATCTTACCTGTTGTTTATCTCATCTTATATTGCACCTTTCTCTATCTACTTTTAACCATTATTGTTGGTGTTAATAGTTAAAGGTATCAAGTTGTTTAACGATAATTATTATGATAAAGTAACAATTTACTCTCATTAAACCTTTTCGATAATTGTATTCATTTTCCAATTTCTGGTTCTTCTTTACATTCACATTTCAAAGCAACCCATAAAACCTTTACAGATTCAAGTGACTTTCAAGTTTAATCACTAAACATTTATTAATATCATTAGCATTAAGATGTAATTTATGGCTGTTAATGTGTAGCAATATGATTCTTGGGTTGAAAATGATTACAATTATGATTCTCTTTATATTACAATAATTGCTTCATGATTATCAGTGTTGATTAAGGTGCATTCTGGTGCATTTAAGTGCCATTTGGTCATGAATTAACCTCAACTTTTCCTCTTTTCATCTTTTCTGGTTAAAAATTAAATTTTTATCCTTTTGGGTTCAATCTCTTGTTTTCACCTTTAGACTTTATTTGTTGCTTTAATAAAACAACATTTTTTTGCATTTATTAATTTATTGATTTTAATTTGTTTTTTTGACAAATTTAAGGTTGACAAGCAATAAATAATGTCAGCCTTTTGGGTTAACAATGAACACCAAGAATATGATGAAGAAAGGAGGCAAAAAATATCAACAATTCACATTGAGTTCACTGTTTTTCCTTCATTTTTACATCTTTTTTTTCATCTTTACTCTTGATCGTCAACATTATCGATCGTCTTCTTTTAACATTTTTCCTCATCTTTTTCCCTTCTCAAATGATCGATGTTTTCTTATTGAAATTCAAATTTTTCATTATACTTTTCTTCATCTTCTTCTGTCAACATATGATTCATGAAAGAAAGCACTTTATCTTTGCCTTATTTTACCTTATGAACCCATCAAGATGATCATCATAATCAGGTTCATCAGTTTAGTGTGTAGGCTTTTCCTTGATACTTACACACATTTGCAAAAGGTTTGCTTCAATTGATGCAGAAAAAATGAAGAAAGTAATGGTTAAAGAATTGATTTCCTAAACTATCAACAAGATGTTTTCCCTGTTCGTAAACATCGTTATCATCATCATCTTCAAAAGTGATCTCTTGAACAAAAAGAAGAAGAAACCAGAACAAGTTTACCAAAAGTTGAATCTCTTTTAATTTTCCATCTTTTCTCCTCAATACTTTCTCTACCTTGATTTACATTGGAAGGTAAAAACACATTTGAACCAATTGAATTAATTTGCATTCTTCATCATCACCAAACTAAACCAAATCACCATCAAAAACATTCTCATCCTAATAACTGTAACCATCAACATCATCTGTAACCCATCAATCTTACTCCTTTTCATTATGATTATTAACAAAACTCCATTTCCATCATAACTCTCATTTCAACTTTATACTTATTTTTTGTCATCCTCATCATAACCATCAGCCTTCTCATCATCATGCAAACAAGTCATCTGTAAAAGCTACTAAACAACTAAATGAAAGTATCATTAATCATTTGGTAATCAAGATTCATTTAGTGGAAAAGAGAAACAAACAGAATCAGGAAAAGTTGTAAAAAGATGAATTTGGATGAACAAGAAGATGATAATGATGGTGAAGAAGAAGAAGAAGAAGAAATGAAAATTAATAAACAGATTATAAGAATGGTGAATGAATGGGAAAAGATGATTAACTTTGTCTCACTGATTGCTTCACAAACCATTCATGTATAATTTATATTAAAAGACAGTTTTAACAACAATTAATTTAACGCATTTGTTAAATAACCAACAAACCAACACTTGAAACTTGCAAGAAGAAACGTGAACCAGAAAAGGTAACCTTAAAGGAAACAGCAAAGAAGCAAAGTTAAATTGTTAATCACAAAGTGGAACCAAAGTTTGCCCAAAGTTAAAGACAATCAAACATGATTAGTAAACAATTTGTCACTAAGAGCGATTGTCCCAAGTGTTAACAACTAAATCAATGATCTTTCTAATTGTTAAAGATTGACGCTTAAAGATGAAAATGTTTCCAACCATTTATCCATATTAATATTAAATTTAGCTTTGACAGTTTACTGGCCATTTCACTGTAATATATATTGCATCAAGTTTACCTTTTGTCTCTGTTTTGCTTTTTTCCCTTTTTATTTCACCTTCACTCACTTTACCTGAATGGTTATGGTTCTGCATTCATATTGACTGTTTATCCGATGATTGACGATCTTTCATTTTACCTTTTACCTTCATCATCCCTGCCAGTTGGAAGAAGAAGAAGAAGAAGGAGAAAAGGTGAGAAAATTTAGAGATTTATTCTTGTTCCAATTGAGCTTTCCACCCATCATAATCCACTTTATTTATTCATCGTTCCTCCTCCATCTCCACCTTCATCTCCTCCCTCTTCTTCATCATCATTTCTATTCATCTTTCACTGAATGGAAGAAGAAGAAAAAGGTTTCAAAATTATATTAATAAAGTAGACGAAGGTAAATAAAGGTAAATAATGAAGAAAGGCATTGTTAGTCTTATACCATCTTAAACATGTTATACATCTTGCCCTTGGGCCTTTTCATTGGATACAATATCTCAATGAAAAACACTGTTAACCTAAAAAAATGAGATTCAACAAAAGTTGTGTTTATGTGAAAACAAACAAATCAGGTTTACAAATGCATTACAATGGCTTTCCATCATTTTGTATGTATTTTCATTTTAGGTAACAATCAATTTACTCATGATATTAAGTTGATAACATTTTCTGCGATTCAATCTCCATGTAATTGTAAAATTGTTCAATTGCTTCAAAGTTTAAGGTTCAACAAAGACTGGTTATTAACATTTGGATGAACCCATTCTTAAACCTTGTCACTGTACAAGGTTTACCTTTAAATTTTATCGTCCAATAGACTTGGACATTTGTTAAGGTCAGCTATTAATAAAAGATTGGCACATTTTTTATTTCTTGGGTTTTGTCAAAGTTTAAAAAATTGCGATTCTCTTCATTTAAAGTCAATTTTTAAAGACTGATGTTTCCATCATTCACTTGTCTTGTGCATCTATACCCATTGATATCTGGTTAATTGTGATTAATGATGTTTATATTTTCACTTTTATTTTCTCCTTCATTTATGTTGATTAATTTAATCAAACTCAATGGAGGTTACAAATTGAAATTTGTTTCAATTAAATCATTTCTTCTTTTCCATGTTCATTCACTTCAACCGTTGGTGACTTTTACCGTAAAAAAAGTGACACTTTATTTTTATTTTTTACCCAATTTTTTGTCAACTTTTACGGTTGTTATTAATACATTAGTAAAGACAAATGATCAAGTTGATGAAGCTGATGAGGATGGTAAACAGCAATAACGATATGGTAAATGATGACAGCATTTTTATCTACATCTGTACATCATATTGTTATTAACTTTCCTCCATTTCAACAATCTGATTTGCTTCAATAATCTTCATATCAACATGTCAACAAATATTGAGATGATCATTTGGAAGACCTTTAGTTTTGTCTCTCTGTTACCCAAATATTTACTAGACTCTCATCTTCAATCTTCATCTTTATTCATCCAAAAGAAATTGTTTTTTTTATTTTCCTTTTTTTCATGACAAAAACATTTTCTTTTATGAAATTATGAAAACATTTTTCCTCTGTTTTTTGGGTTATTATTTTAACCAAATTGAATTGAATGTTGTTTTCGCGTTCAAATCAATCAGAATTAAACTCTATTTAATTTAATTCAATTGATTAACTGTCTTTTTCTCTACTTTAGTAATTACAAACGCAAGAAATGATTATTTTAATGATATTAAGTTTATTTAAATTTGGCGCTTTGGTCATCTTAAATGTTGTTGGACTCATTAAGGGATCGGGTTATGTATCTGTATTTATTGATTTGTTTGTGATCAATTTATTACATATCTTTTGATCAATTGATATCTTTTGATTGTTTTGAAAGCGTTTTGTTTTGTTTTTTAATTGCTTTTTGTCTTGGTTTTTTACTGTGTAATTAACAATTTATTTGTCAACCTAATTTCTAGTGTTTGTTTCCTATTTATCTATGCTATTTAACCATTGGTATGATGATTCAATTATTTGCTGTGTTTGATCTTGTTTTTTTGTAGGTCTTATGGTGGCAATTAATTTACTAAATTTAACAGTTGTTGTTATTGCTTTTACTTTTTTTTAATGTCTAATTAGTACTATTAGGAATCTTGGTCTTGTCAACATTACCAGTTAAGTGTTGTATTTCAATTGGAAACTGACTTGGTTTAAATTTGCAAATCTTGACTTAAAGCCAGGGAAAAGGAAAGGTTCGCTCAATTTGATTGCCTAATTAATACAATTTACATGGATAAAGTCTTGGTGACACTTTTTATGAAATGATGAAGATTAATAGTGATAACTAATTATCCGGTAAAGTCAATTAATTTCAATTTAATTAATTTAATGCAATTAGAGTGAGAATCGAATTGTTTCTGACAAAAATTTAACCTTCCTGTTGTAATGGAGTAAAGACAGAGTTGCTATTTTTTTGTCATATTAGAGCCTAACTTGTAAAGAAGAGGCTTCTAGTTTAAAGACCAACTAATGGTTAAAAAATTGTTTAATTGAATCACAATTAAATAATTGTATTTGAATAGCCACACACATGTATTTAAACAACAATCAAATTAAACTAAACAAAACTCCTTTCTCTTTCAGCTACCAAACTGGATTCTTCCAATGGTTACTGCCTGTGTATTACAAGCAAACATGGTAAATGGAAGCTTTTAACATAAAGTAAGAATAGGCTAAATTGGCTTTTATTTGTTTTAATTGTGAAAATAATGTAATAATGATTTTTTTATTATCAATAGAATGGTCTGAAGACAACAATTAAATGAAAAAACCATTAATTCTAATTATCGGTTGGTTTAAATGATGAAGGAGGAGTTGACAAGACAAGGGAAACAATAATAAGCAAAGATCAGTGTGACTCTGGATCGGATTAACCAAGTGATAGTGAAGATGATATAATATTGCTGGAGTAAAGAAGAATGAAGATGTTGATGATCAACTATTAAGTTGAACATGATCTTGTGAGTAAACATTGACTCAAACACTTAACTTGATTTGAGATGTTCTTTACTCCTATTTTTTTCTTCCTTTTCCTCCTCCTTCTCATCATCACCATCATCTTTCCTTTTTCATTCAATTATGAACTGCGAATAAGACAAAGTGTCCATGGAAGAAATTAAGGAAAGCAAAGCAAGCTGGAAATGAAGACGATAATCTTGATGATGATTGCCGTAGTAAGTTGTCCCAAGATGCTGGTTAAATCTCTTCATAAAATCTTCCCCAATCATCATCTTTTCCTCATCATTATCTCATCTTTTTTTTCTTACTTGACTCTTATTATGATCCAGAATAGATATTTATATTATTATTGCTATCATCATCATTATCATTATTATAAGACATATTTCTTTATAACTTGATGGTCTACTCATTCTCATTTTTTTCTCTCTCTTCTTCAGCTTCATCTATTCTCATGGTATTCCCATTATGATGACAAATTACAGTGATTACCAGAGACTGGATAACATCGCCTTTTATTACCACTTTTTCACTCTATTCTTGCTTCTTCATCAACATCTTCCTCCTCCTCAACAATAACATCAACATCATCAACAGCAATATGCTCATCATCTTGTTGGCCATCATCAACCAATCAACCTGAAAAACTGTTGGAACCAGAGAGAGGAGAGGGAAGCCAAAAGAAGAGAAGAGGAAGAAAAAAACCTTATTCCTTCACTTTTTCTCTTCCTTTAATACACTGTAAATGACTTGTTCAACTCTTCTTCTTCTCCTTTCGAATGATAAAAGATGATGAAGATGATGATGGTAAAATCTTCCTTGCCTATTAAGTCACTATTATCATGCCATTGAACCATCATCATGATCATTCCTTTGTCTTGTTCAATATCTTGTTGAGCGTTGTACATAAAATTTGACAGAAAATGATTTTTATCGTCAATTCTGTCTTTCAGTAAAAAAAGGATAAGAAGAAGAAAACAAATCTATGCCATTTTGATCAATATAGAAAGAAAAATAGCCCAAATTAAGGTGGAAATCATCATCATCATCAACATCAGCTTTATCATTTCCTTTTAAATGATAATATAATATGGAAGCTCAATGGGCTAGACTTAAAGAGATGAAGAATTGTAATGATAAAAAATGAATTCTCATTTTTTATGTTTTCTCAATTGAAATGAAAGATTCCATTAAGTGTTCCTTAACTCTTGCCTTTCATGCCATTTGATTGATTAAAGGTGATCAAAGTGTACATTATTGATCATCTTAAAATGATTGGAAATTAATATTAATCTGATTTCTATTGGTACACTAACCTTGTAAACTTTATTTCAAGTAATTACTTTATTGATACAAATTGATACACAACAAATGCATACACATTGATAGCTAAATGTTGATAAATATTTGTCTTTCTACTCTTTTTTAGGTCAGGATTGTTCAACTGACTATCAAGTGATAAATGATGCTGCAAGTTATTTGCAAGATCTTTTTGGTATCCTAAAAGTGTCACCTCGCAAGTATGAAATGCACAGGAATGATGACGAAGTCGAGAACGAAAAGCAAAGGAAAAAAATAAAATAATTAATAATCAACTGGCAAACATCAACAACAACTGCAACCAACGATGAATAAATTAGTCGATGGAGAAAGTTAAAGCTTGGTAAATGCTATAAATGATGGAGATAAGTAAAAAGGATTATTTATCCTGATGGAGAAGCAAAAGTTAATGAAAAGCTGAAGCAAATATTTGGCACCTAAGAAGGATGAGACTAAAAGGAGGTAAAACGAGGAAAGATGCTCGCAAATGATTATGAAGCTCAATTAATTTTGTGAGTTGTCCAAAAAGACTCTTTTTAACCTCATTTCTTTCTCCTTTATCATCATCATCCTCATTCTAGTTGAAAATAAGACTAACCTTTCCTCGTTTTTTTTATGCAGCCGATTAATCGATTTTCCGAGTCTCATCAATCAATTCTCATGTCTCAAGAAGATGATGATGATGATGATGGTTAAAGAGAAGCTTACATTTACTGTTTCCACTTGAAACCTTATTTTCACATTCTTTTTCTTCTTTAGGACAGAGTACTCGGAGAAAGCCAAGGAATGATGATGATAGAGACAAGAGAGTATCCCGTGGATGCTGCTTTGATGCTATTGAATCGTGGATCTTGATCTAAGCATTTACACCTAATAGCATGATATTTTCCTCTTATTTTCATGGATCAGGACTGGATTGGACAAATTCATCGACAATATTGAAACTTACAAACCAAAAAGCTTACCTTTAACAGTACCTTTAACTTAGTCTCTATTAACTGCACAATTTCTTGTTTAATTGTGTAACAGCTTGGAAATATAATATAATTTATCGAAAGAAAATCATCTTCTAATTTATTTGATTTTACATTTGAATATTAAATTTGTGTTACCGCCTTCAATCAATCTGGATAGATATTTATGACTTTTTAAAGTTAACTTCTCACACATTAATTAATAAATCAATATGTTTTCCCGAGTGTTGTATTGGTTATATTATATTTTAGTTTTAACTTGGATTGAGACTCAGATTATTTGCACATTTCATTATTAATCTTTTAGTTTTAAAAGTCGAGTGTTTACAGTTTAATTAAACTTGTCAGAAATGATCAACATTGTAATTTTGATGATAATTTTATATTCAAATTTTGTATCAACGACAGAGGTCGAGAATACAACCGAGACCGAGTACCACGAGAAAATTGCTTATGGTCGATATGTTTACGAACCAGGTGCTTATCCCTTTTATTATTCAATTCAATATCCAATTCTCAGTCCGACAGAAGGATACGTTCACGTCTGTAGTGGAGCATTGCTGGGCAAGAGACTCATGATAACAGCAGCTCATTGTCTTGTCAAGTAAGTTTTAAATGAACACTTGAATGTATTCGTAAAAAAACCTAACCCATTTTTAGTACCTCACATATTCCCCTATACCGTGTTTTACCCAACTATCGAAATACACCGCTGATTTTACCTAACGATCTAGTCTTCAAAATTGAAGACTATGAGATACACCCAGGGGCTAATCAGGGTATATTTCCATTTAAAGATGACATTGCTATTGTGCGTTTGGACCAAGATGATCCTCGACCTGGTGTAAATCTTCTGAAGCCTATTATACCACTTCATCGTTGTTTACCAGTCAAGATGATGGGCTATGGTTACACTGAAAGTGGTGATTATCCGTATAGATTAAAAGATGCGACTGTTTTCCTGCTTAGTGATGAAGAGTGTCTCGATGTCTTGCCATATCCTATCTACATTCCAATCAGCAATATCTGTGTTTCTAATAGCATTGGATCAGCTGGATGTTCTGGTGACTCAGGTGGACCTTTAGTTTTGGAAAACCCACAAAATGGTAAAAGCTATCTTTATGGTGTTCTAACTGGCGGACCCGATCCCTGTCGCCAGTCAGACATGACTACCTATGTTAATGTTTTAGTGTATTTATATTGGATTGATGCAGCTATGTTAAGATTATCTCGTGATGAATTGAGATCCGATTCTGATTGAATGTGTTCAACCTTCAATGGATACAAAATGATTCAAACACAATCAAATTGGATCAATTTATTATGCCAGTTGAACAATTTTTGTACCTTTTGAAGATTTAATCAAAACAAGAATCAATCTTTTGAGTCTTTTTTTGTAATTTGTATTCATAAAAATATAAAAATTACCAACAAATAAACTGTTTCTAATATTGTAAGCATTAGATGAACAACCAATGAAACCATATGAAACATTTCAAGCAACAACATGACTTATAAACCTGATTACTGTCGACGCCTCATCATCTTAATACCACCATTAATAACATATTAAATTGCAACGGCAAAATCCTATTATTGTTAAATTTAAATTCCGTTTCTATTGCAATATCATTTTGGAAGCCAATCTTTTGCCTTTAATTGCATTAAATGTGAATTAACATTTGATACTTGAACGTGTTTACACACAACAGCTCATTACTTATTACATGTTATTATGAACATGATTTCTGGGTTGTTATCCATCATTTGTTTGTGAATATTTGGAAAGCTTTCTCCCCTGTTTTGCCTTTCAACAGATTATATTCAACTTGATTTTAAAGCCAATTTGTGCTATTAATAGCAATCCACTTTTTGTTCAGTTAATTTCTTGTTACGTCGATTAATTGTTATCTGTTGCAGTTAATGAGAAAAGCAGAGTTAATGACTAACAAGGAGCAAGGATTAAGAGTTAACCATTGAGATTCCTTGAAATCTAGGGTTTTTTGATTGTCAACAAAATTGCTAGTTACTCAAGACTTTATTTTTGGATTAAAGAAGGAATTATGATAAAAGAAGAAGCTCAAGATTCTGATGAAGCTGATGATGGAACTGAGGGTGATAAAGAAACAAGAAGAGATCATAAATGTCTTTGGGATGTCACCAGTTTTTTTCAGATTCCTTTAAGCACCATTAAGAAAAATGAGCAACGTATTAATAAAACATCTTAACTCTCCTCACAAGATTGATTTGTTGAACACTTTTGTACAGTAATTATCATCTTCATCATCTTCTATTTATAAATAATAATGAAGATGAAGTGGATGAGAGAGAGACAGAGGAAGAAGAGAAGCAAGATTAACTTATAACAATTGTAAATTAATTTCTTGTGTCTCTATTTTTCTTCTCGTCAACCATCTTCAAATGTACATAACATTTGCTATGTAAATGGGTAATGTTAAACCGTTGCCACTAATTTCATTGTAAATCATTTGTAATCTTATGCTGATGCTAAACCGTCAACATTACTATTGCATGTGGTTAGTTAATTAATGTAAACTAATGTAAATTGGAAGCAGGAAAAAAGAGATTAAATGTTTATATCTCAATTGATCATCAATTGTTTCAATATCAAGTCTCAAAGATTCTAATTGTGAACATAATCTTGACCGTTTTCATCCTTCACTTGGTTCAACGTAATTTTCAATGTTGACTCAAAATTGATGGTCAGCGATTTGAGTTTGCCAAAAAATTAATAAATGAATGACAAGGTTGATTTAACTGTTTTTTTTTGTCAAAATGATCATTTTGGTTTAATTAACTTTTGTTGCTTCGTTTTTTTGCATATTATACTTTTTTTGCTTGCAAATTGGTTTGTTGTGTGTGTGTGTGTCTTTATACAACCATTTGAGTTGAAAGTTTGGGATTGACAAGCAAGTTGATTTACCACTTAAACAATTGATTTCACTGTTGTCAATAATCAACTGATTATCTGTTGCTCTCTTCATTGAGATGTAAGGCAAAAATGTATCAATATCCAAATTGGAAAAATAAATCAGCTTTCAGATTTAGCTTGAATTTAAATTTTGGTTAACAACAGTGAGTGGGTGAGATTAGAAGAGATTGGGTTTACAATGCAAAAAATCGCAAAGGTTAATTTTTGTTTTATCCAAAACTTTCACCTCAAGTGTATTGTATTTGAATCACATTAGCAAAATTAATCGCATTCATTAATAATTAAATTATAGTTGAATTTAAAAACAATTTAGGTAATCAAACAGTTGCTTTGTGTGTGTAACATGTTAGTTCTGTTTTTTGTCTTGTTTGATTTTGGTTGGTTGCTTGTTTACATATTAAATATGCTTTTGTAACTTGTTCAGTTCTATGCTTTTTTTGGTGGTGAAAATGATGACAGTAATAACCATGAAGATGATGAAAAACATAGATTGAATTGTCTGATGAAAAAAAGTATGATGGATTGACGAAGCAAAAATCCATTGTGAGCAAAACTGAAGACGTGATGATGATCTATTACATCAATGATAATTGCAATGTTGAGATAAAAAACCAAGCTTCGTTTATGGCCGTTTCTTACCGAAATGTGCTTTTGGAAAATTTTTCTTTGTTCAAACCAAAAAGCTTAAATGACTACAAACACACCTTTGATAATGATAAATAAGAGAGAAAAAGAGATTTTCTTAAGGCGGAATTGGTGGACCCAAACGTCCTGCATAAGGTCCGTATGGAGGATAACTCAAATTCATCTGGGATCTAGGTGAATGTGAAGGTGGAAGGTTGGGCGATCCTCCTAATCCATTTGGTAAATTGGTGAATGGTTTGTACGGATGATATCGATTTACTGGATCAAAAGCAGTCCTTCTTAAGCCAGCGATGGGACTTGTTAACATTGGATCAAGATGGGGATATTGACCGAGAAAGGCAAGAGCAGAGACTGAGGTTGGATCAGAAGAGGTGTGATTGCGAAGATGTTGATGCAATTCTTCAGCGGAATTGAATCGTTTACCGCAAAAGGTGTTATTTACCACCCAATTACATGTATTGAGTTTATTCATATTTACATTTCCAGGTTGGTTCACATTTGAGGGATTGTTTGAAGGATTATTTGGATTTGAAGGGTGATGGGGTGAATGTAGTAACGGATAAAATGCATTACCATGAAGGTAAGGTGAATTGGCTTGAAGGGCAGCTGCTAAATTAAGAGATGAAGCCATTGAACCGTGTGAACACTGAGTACAACCAGCGGCACAGGCTGAAACTTGTCCTAGTACGTTGGATGCGGCAGCAGCATTGAATCGACAGCCTGGGCAAAAGGGATCACGGCACACGCTTGGTGAATGGCAGTAGCCAGCCACAGCGGCAGCAGCAGCATTTAACCTGGCAGCGGCTGCAGCAGTTGATGCTGGATCATGTTGTGATGCATGTGGATGGTGTGGAAGGCCCAGGTAGGGTGAAAGTGATGAATATGGTACAAATTTATTAACACTATCTACATTCAACTGATGGAGTTTGGATGATGGTGGTGTTTGGTGAGAGACGGATGCTGTTGTTGAGGTTGGTGTTGACGATGACAGGGTTGATTTTGATACTACGGATGGAGTTGATGAAGTGTTAGACATAGAGGGTGTTGAAGATGAAGATGAAATGGAGGATGAGGTTGACTCTAGTGAATTATACTTTTGTATCTTTTTATTTGTCTCATCGTAACCATTGCTGTGGCTTGTTGGTGGGCTTCCTCCATTGGTTTCACTTTCTCGTTTTGAAGAAACTGATTCAGAGGGTTTTGAGGTAATCACACTATTACTGTTATACTGGTTATCCTTGTTATTTTTGTAGGTATCACTATTTAAAGGTGATCTTGAGCTTTGTACCTGCTGTGGGTAATTATGGTTGAATACTGAATGACTTCTAGAGTCTTCAATACACGTCCTTTTATTGGTAACATGATCTTCATAAGGCTTAAATGAAAACTTTGTTGGTTCACGATTACCATTTACTGAGCCTGCACTGGTTCCAGTGTAATTAGGAGAGGAGTGTGTTGATCCATTGCTAACAATAACATGAGTTGAATTACCATTCAAGCCAAGGTTAGTATTACTTGATCCAGGCACTGAATTGGCACTGATACGGCTATTTGAGGAAACAGATAAAGTTGATTGTTTATCTGATCCATTTCTTAAAGGTGAAACTGACAAACGACAAGAATCATTGCTTTTCCTAGTAGATTCAAGGGATGAAGAAGAAGATGACGGTGAAGTTGAAGATTTTGATGAAAATGATTTGGTATGATCAATGGATGATTTGGTTAATTTACTAGTTGTTGTGTCAACACCAATATTCCGACAAGTTTCAGCCAATAATGCTAATGGGCTTTTACCATCATCATACTGTGAAAATTAAAATAAAATTTTCAATTATTCAAGAGTTAAAAGGTAAGAAAAATGATTCTCAAAAGAGATCAATCAACAATAAGATAAAAAAAGATGAAAAACTAACCCGAAACTCGGATTGAACGAGATTATTATTCGACGACATATAATCAAATGATGAAAAAGATTTCAGACTGTTGATATTGATTTAACGAATAGACAATCCGTATGAGAACACAGTGATTAGAACAGAAAAAAAATGTTAACAAAAACGATAAAATAGCATTACATTGGACTTGTGAAGTTAATTGTATATAAACAAATTGAACAGGAATAAGTTCAACTTACAACAAAGTTTACCTAAATGAAACTAACTGGGTAAGATTAAAGTAAGAACCAATTTAGCTGCAAACCAAAAAGCACTTTGAAAGAGCATTTACGGACCTGCGCATAAGCTCTCAAATTTACCTGTTTAATCTGCAGGGTGTTGCCATCTTGTGTGCTAATTTTAAATGAAATAATTTATCAATTTATCTGTTTTTATTATTGTTCAAGATTCCAAGATTATAAGTTGACAATGTGACGAGTAAGAAATTGTTTAATGATACAATGATTCAATTTGTTAAATGTTTAAGAGGAATGCTGTATGCTTTATGATTATGCTTTGGATTTGGATTTAACAGTAAGAGTTAACAATTAGAGATGTTAGTTAGATGTTGAAATGTTAATTGTTATCGACTCTTGAATGTTAAGTCGTTACCCATGATTTGTTTTACTGTATTATGAACCATTCCATCCATCTGAACCTAATGTTGCAATGAAGTCGCCCCTTCCATTCTAATTACTCCTCTCATCATTTACGGTCAACCAGCTTTTACGTTACGATAAAATTATGATAACTTCACATATTTTCTTGCTTAATTGTGTAACAGCTTGGAAATTTAATATAATTTATCGAAAGAAAATCATCTTCTAATTTCTGTGATTTCACATTTAAATATTAAATTTATGTTACCGCCTTCAATCAATCTGGATAGATATTTATGACTTTTTAAAGTTAACTTATTCAACATTAGTTAATGAATCAATATGTTTTAGTCGAGTGTTGTATTGGATTGATTTTAGTTTTAACTTGAATTAAGACTCGGATCATTTGCACATTTCATTATTAATCTTTTAGTTTCAAAAGTCGAGTGTAAAATTCGTAAAGCCAATCAGAAATGATTAACAGTTTAATTTTGATGATGTTTTTATATTCAAATTTTGTATCAACAGAGTACTACGAAAAAATTGCTTGGGGTTCATATGTTTACGAAGAAGGCGCATATCCTTTCTATCTTTCTATTCAAGAACCGGTTGGCGGAAACCCGAAAAATGGATACTATCATGCCTGTGCTGGAGCATTAATAGAACCAAGAATCATGTTAACAGCAGCTCATTGTCTCATGAAGTAAGTTTTCAATAATTTACTTGCATGCAATCATTAATATTCTTACCCATTTTCAGTGACACACTTATTCCACTTATGCGCATTTTACCCAACTATCGAAATACGCCGTTGATTTTACCAGGAGATCTAGTATTCAAAATTGAAGCCTACGAGAGACATCCAGGTGCTGGTTCTGTCTCATGGGCAACAGCTAAAGATGACATTGCTGTTGCACTTTTGGACAAACCTGATCCTCGACCTGGTGCAATAATTTCGCGGCCCGTCTTACCGCTTCATATTTGTTTTCCAGTTAAGATCATGGGTTATGGTTACACTGAAAGTTACGATCCTCCATATAGATTAAAAGAAGCGATTGTACTCAGGCTTACTGATGAAGAGTGCCTCGATGAATTGCCTTGGCAGTACGCTCCAGGTTACAGTCTTTGTGTTTCTAATAGCATTGGCTCAGCTGGATGTCGAGGTGACTCAGGTGGACCTTTAATTTGGGAAAATCCAAAAACTAATAAAACCTTTATTTACGGCGTGCTATCTATCGTTAGCTTTCAATGTGCCGATGCACCTTTTACTATCTATGTTGATGTTTTAGCATATAATGATTGGATTGATATTGCTGTTTTCAGATTAACAATTCATGATGAATTAAGATCCGGTTCCGAGTGAATATGTTCAACTTTCAACGAAATGATTCAAATAAATTCAATGGAAGGACCAAATTGGTTATTGGTTACCATTTGAAGATTGGATTATCACTTGAATCATTTGAGGCTCATTGTTTTTTATTTGTTTTTTATTCAAAATTTACAAAATTAAAAGCTCAACAAAAGATAAATAACACAATTGGCATAAATCTATTACTATTATGAAGGATTGATTGCACAAAAGATTTTCCTCTTTATGAGACCTACGTCCGCATAAAGATACACTCCTGCCCATAATTATAGATACACCAAAAATTCGTTGAAATTGAATAAAATTAGTAAATTGTGAACATATTTCTTGGCTTTTTTTTATTGGATTAAGTTAATCTGTATGTGAAAGAGTTATTTTGAAGCTTTGGGAAATTTTTCTTGAGAAATATGGCTTAAATCAAATAAATTGGATTAAAGTAGAGCTTTTGACTCGCGCTAAAATTATAAATACAGATGTTTATAATTAACTAATTAGGAATACGAAATGTATATAAGTTCAGGAAAAGTTGTTTTTAAGGTCAGTTTTTCGTCCTCTTTCTGAATATCTAGTTTTCATTTTAGTATTTCTCATATTTTTTGAAGGCCAAAAAGGCCAAATTAATGCTCTACATTCACAAGGTCTATCTTTGAGAAAAATTGCTGCTGAAATTGGTCGAAGCCATACTGTTGTGCAGCATTTTGTCAATTTGCGCGAGAATTATGGTGCAACTCCTCGATCTGGACGCCGTGAATCATTGAGTGATCGAGATAAAAGAAGTATTCTTCGATTAGCAGATCAACCTGGATCATCATCGAAAAGAATTGTCGCAGATTTGCAATTACCTTGCTCCAATAAGACGGTTTTGAAAGTGATTAGAGACTCGAATCTCTATGAATATTCGCAAATGGTGGCGAAACCTAAATTAACCGATGCCCACAAGGAAAAACGAATGGAATTCGCAAGGAATCACATAACATGGACTGATCAATGGCTAAGTGTTATTTTTTCTGATGAAAAGAAGTTCAATCTTGATGGCCCCGATGGATCAAGATGCTATTGGCATAAAATTGATACCCCGAAAAAAGTGTTCTCAAAGCGAAATTTCGGTGGTGGAACTGTGATGGTCTGGGGTGCATTTAGTTTTAATGGTGTTCTACCCATAGTTCGAATTACACCATCCATGAATTCAAAGGATTATATCGAAGTGATAAAAGAGAATTTGTTACCTAATGCTCGAAATAATGCTGGGAGTGATTACATTTTTCAACAAGATAATGCCCGTATTCATGTTTCTAGGGAATCGAAAGAGTTTTTCCTGAATAATTCGGTGAGATTACTTGATTGGCCTGCCTGTAGCCCTGATTTGAACCCGATTGAAAACCTGTGGGCCACTATGGTTAGGCAAGTTTATCCTGCGAATGTTCAATACAATAATGCTACGGAATTATGGAACGCGATTCAAAATGCTTGGTATAATTTAGACCCAGAATTATTGCAAACCCTTATTCGAAGCATGAATGATCGAATATTCGAAGTTGTTAAATTGAATGGAGCTCAAACTCATTATTAAATTGAATTTTTTGAACTGTATTTATAATTTTAGCGCGCGTACTTTTGAATATTTTAAGATTATCTAATCAATGAGTAATCTTACCAGAAATTTAAACATACCATTTTTTTCCTTATCTCAACCAAAATTAATTGCAATAATCAGATTTACCCTAACATTAATATTTCTCCTAATAAATGAAAAAAATAAGTGTATCTATAATTATGGGCAGGAGTGTAGCTCTGAATACACCTTTTGGTTAACTGTTAATAACAAGAAAGTGTCTAGTTGAAGACATTTGTAAGGAAGGTCTGTAAATGAATAGGGAAAATCTCCTCTTGGAATATTTTATGCAATGAACTTTTTAAATGTACAATAATTTTTTGTGCTGATTCCGAATATCTGTTTCGTTTCTCGATAAAACAACACGTTCGGAAGAAAAAATCATATTATGATTCGAAGGTTGCATTTTTATCACGTTAAAAGAGGTCGCTAAGCCAGTCGATTCTATTCGTGATCTATGTTATTAAGGGTACTGAATAATCTGGTGATGGTTTGGTTCCTGAATTAATAGCCAAACAGGGTGTTGCATTGGCGTTTAATAAAATTTAACGAAATCCAGTTTCTGCAATTTTCAATCTGTTTGGCTATTTTTTCAAAGCTGCAATCAACACTACATTATTCAACATACTCAATAACATTGATTACGCTAAGATTAAGCTCGCTTAGACGGCATCTTCAATATTTTCACAGAGACACTTATTAATCGCTGTTCGAATTCAGTTTTTTACAATTTACAACCCTGTTTAACCTTCACTATATTATTCAGAATGCTTGATACCATTGATTATGTTAATATTTAGCTGGCTTAGACGGTATCTTCATTATGTTTAAAAGGTCACTAATACTATGTGATATTTAGATATTTTGGCCGATATCTCAAAAACTATGCATGCTTTAAAAATAGATTTATTTTATGAAATTGGCATTAAATTTTGCGTCTGTAAAATATCATTTCAACAGAAATCGAGAACAGGCGATTTTGAAGATCCTCCTTCTGTGATATCACTTTTAAATATGCAATTTTTGTTACCGCCTTCAATCAATCTGGTTAGATATTTATGCTCTTTTAAAGTTAACTTATTTAAAATTAGTAAATGAATCAATATGTTTTAGTCAAGTGGTGTATTGATTTGATTTTAGTTTTAACTTGAATCAAGACTCGGCACATTTCATTATTAACCTTGAGCTTTAAAAGTCGAATGTAAAATACATAAAGCCAATTAGAAATGATTGGCAGTGCAATAATTTTGATGCTGTTTTTATATTCAAATTTTGTATCTACAGAGTTCGAGGAATCAACAGAGTACTACGAAAAAATTGCTTGGGGTCGTTATGTTTACGAAGAAGGCGCATATCCTTTCTATCTTTCTATTCAAGAACCGGTTGGCGGAGACCCGAAATATGGATACTATCACAGCTGTGGTGGAGCATTAATAGAACCGAGAATCATGTTAACAGCAGCTCATTGTCTCATGAAGTAAGTTTTAAATAATTACTGTTATGCAATCATCAATATTCTTACCCGTTTTCAGTGAATCAGACATTCCACTTATGCGCGTTTTACCCAACTATCGAAATACGCCGCTGATTTTACCTAGAGATCTAGTCTTCAAAATTGAAGCCTACGAGAAGCATCCACATTTTGATTCTGTCCCATGGCTAACTGCTAAAGATGACATTGCTGTTGTACTTTTGGACAAACCCGATCCTCGACCTGGTGCAATAATTTTTCGGCCCGTTTTACCACTTCATATTTGTTTTCCAGTTAAGATCATGGGTTATGGTTACACTGAAAGTGGCGACCCTCCATATAGATTAAAAGAAACGACTGTATTCAGGCTTGATGATGAAGATTGCCTCGATGAAGCGCCATGGCTGTACGCGCCAGGTTACAGTCTTTGCGTTACTAATGCCATTGGCTCATCTGTATGCCGAGGTGACTCAGGTGGACCCTTAATTTGGGAAAATCCAAAAACTAATAAAACCTTTATTTACGGCGTGGCAGTTATCGGGTTTTCTCCATGTAAGGATACACCTTTTAGTATCTTTGTTGATGTTTTAGCATATAATGATTGGATTGATATAGCTATCTTCAGATTAACAATTCATGACGAATTGAGATCCGGTTACGATTGAATATGTTCAATTTATGGACACTTATTGGAATTTAGCACTAAATTGATTTTTGGTTACCATTTGAAGATTGGATTATCACTAGAATCAATTGAGTTTCATTGTTTTTCATTCGTTTTTTTATTTAAAATATACAAAATTAAAGGCACTAACAAAAGATAAATAACACAATTTGTATAAATCTATTACTCATTAGAAAGGATTGATTACATAAATGATTGACCCTTTATCATGTTAACACTGAGACCCGATAAAGATAGATTTGAATAAACCTTTTGGTTTGACTGAATTGTATTTTATTGTAGATATTTTTCAAAAACGCCAGATCATTTGTCATTGAATGTTTTGTTGCGTTTAACGCAAAATAACATTTGTTTGACTCATTTGAACAAAAGTATTAATGTCCGCTTTCAGAATACAATTCATTACTTGTCTCTTGATTTAAAATTATTTCATTGCATTAGCTCAATGGTTAGACAGGACAGTTGGACAGGAAGGTTTGAATGAGTGGGATCGAAGCTAGATTTGGGATTATTTTTGTTTTAATTTGTTTTTTAACGAGCGTTAGCGCAAAATTTCCGCCAAATATGACAATTTCTCTAGGCGTTCATTGAATGGCGTCAGTGTGTCACTAGACTGGGTATACAGGGTGATTACTGGAACATGGCCTTGTGTTTCTTTTCTAATATTTTCTTCATCTCTTCTTCAAATGTAATCTTTAATGGTGGGGAAACAAAAATATGCCCTTTTGATTTTTTTTGCGAAGCGCTGGCAATGCTGTCTACCCACATTTTTATCTTCGTTTTAGGCCATTTGCTATCTCTTGATCAACTCAGCAGAAATTTTCATGTTTTTTCACTGTCTGTTACCCGAACTTCGGTAGTTGATGATTAATATTCCCTATCAAAATTATCGTTTCTGTTGAGGTTATCTTGGTTAAGGTCAATAATCGAAATCGCAACAAAAATACACTTGTGGTTAGATAGCGGATCTGACCACCGACTTCAGAAATAGATGCCAGGCGATCATCGTAAACGAAAGCTGACATGCTTCACATTTTTTTGATTACTTCCCCACTATTCAAGGTTATTTTTAGAAAGTATAAACTTAATCAAATAAGAAATAAAGAAAATCCTCGAAGAACGCAAGGACATGTTCCAGTAACTACCCTGTAGTAGACAGTAGACAATTGACAACATAGCAAGCAAATCATTCTAGGATGGTTAAAAAGGGGTTACTATGGATAGTGGAATGAATGGCGTGTATGAAAAATCAAGACAAAGTTTAGAGCGTTTGCAAGCGTGCGGCTTAAAAATGCTCTTAAAACGCATATGACGACTTGTTTGGTTTGCTATGACACTTAACGCTCAAGCAATATCTGTGGCTACTGTCAGAGTAAAAATGGTGCTAAAAAGTCACTGAGTTGTTCTCATATTGCAACAACCAGTCAGTGTTTAGGTTGAACTGACCATCGACGAGAGTTTCGTTTTCCATCATTGTCAGTTGAATTTCGAACTTTGACCTTGATTTTCTCAAAAACTGCTAATCATAGAGAAAAAATTCTAACATAAAAAGTATCTCAATCTAGCCTCTATCAGCCTACGAGGTCTGAGAGCTTCATAATTATTTCATAACTGTAAAGTAATTTATCTACGATATTACCCCCATACATTTTTAACTTGATAGTAGGTGATTGAGGACAATGCCTTAATAGTTTACAATTAAAACCATGTAATGGTGAATGATTTATCAGAAAGTCTTCTTCTAATTTCTGTGATTTCACATTTAAAGATTGAATTCATGTTACCGCCTTCAATCAATCTGGATAGATATTTATGATTTTTTAAAGTTAACTTATTCAACATTAATTAATGAATCAATATGTTTTAATCAAGTTGTGTATTGGATTGATTTTAGTTTTAACTTGAATTAAGACTCGGCACATTTCATTATTAATCTTTGAGTTTTAAAAGTCGTGAATTCGTAAAGCCAATCAGAAATGATTAACAGTGTAATTTTGATGATGTTTTTATATTCAAATTTTGTATCAACAGAGTTCGAGGAATCAACAGAATACTACGAAAAAATTGCTTGGGGTCAATATGTTTACGAAGAAGGCGCATATCCTTTCTATCTTTCTATACAAAAACCACTTGGCGGAAACCCGAAATATGGATACTATCACAGCTGTGGTGGATCATTAATAGAACCGAGAATCATGTTAACAGCAGCTCATTGTCTCATGAAGTAAGTTTTCAATAATTAACTCGCATTCAATCTTAAATATTCTTACCCATTTTAGTGAATCACAAATTCCACTTATGCGCATTTTACCCAACTATCGAAATACACCGCTGATTTTACCAGGAGATCTAGTATTAGTAGTTAATAAATGTCCTTTTCTGGACCGACTTGTCCACTCTGGACAGACTTGTCCACTCTGGACCAACTTGTCCACTTTGGACCAACTTGTCCACTCTGGACAGACTTGTCCACTCTGGACCAACTTGTCCACTCTGGACTGACTTGTGCACTTTGGACTTACTTGTCCACTCTGGACCGACTTGTGCACTCTGGACCAAGGACAAGACCAACATAGGGTATATAAGATTGAGTCAATCTTAATATTGTTAAAGATGGACCCTGAGACTTATAAGAATATAATCAAGATTTTGCTAGTCTTGATAATCATTATTGTTCTTTTTTTACGTACTTTCTACCAACCTACAAGTGAACATGTCATTAAGCTCGCTTAATTATCAAATAGCTAATATTGTAAGTCTATGGAAGATAGATGGAGCAATCAAATTAGAGATTGATAATACTAATAGAAGAAAGAGATTCAATGCTCAAATCATAAGGAAAAAAGGAGTATTTCTCGTTTTTGGATCAGGAAAAGTAATTGCTACTGGATTTAAAGAAGTGACTTCAGCCGGTTCGATTCTTCAAGAACTCTATCCTGCAAACAATGTTAACTTTATTAAAACAGTTAACATTACAGCTCATAGCTTTTATCCATTTGCATTCAACATCCATGAATTTGTTGAATCATCAAAAGATGCAAATTATGAGCCAGAAATTTACCCTGCTGTATATATTAGATTGAATGGATTGACCTTGATATATTATTCAACAGGGTCAATCATATTAACAGGAGCTAAAGAGCTTTCACAGATAGATGGCGCCCTTGTCGAGTTTACGAAACGTGTCCTCCCGATGAGTATATAAGGGGCCGTGGATTATCAATTCCATTCATTCTATTTACAACATTCACAAAGTAAACATGTCTAATTGGAAAAGTTTTAAAATCCTAGACGAAGCAATTTGCTTCAAAGTTTGTTATGGTGAAACGGTCAAACGACTTGATATTCGTGCGATGATTCACAATTTACCATCAACATTCGGTGTATCACTCACGCCGTCTGAATTTAAATACATTTATGGTTATTACAAGAGTTTCAAAGAGGGACCATTAGAGGTTCATCACTATGATATTTCAATAAGGAAATATTCAAAGACTTCTTTTGAAATCATGAAAAATGGTAAAAAAGTTGTCACTCAACTTTCCTTTTGGGAAAAAATAACCCCTTACATTCCACTGGCCCTATACTTGGTTTCTCAAGAAATTGCAGTCGATCAATTCATTGATATTTACGTTCTTTCTTTCTTCATGGGCAAAGATCACATGTTGAAAAAACAATGGACTGCTACTCAATGTCTTTACATTGATCCTGATAATTCAATTGTTTATCAATTAGGATTAGCAGCTCATGATGACTTTACTAGTCGTAAAGTTGATATCGAATCTTTGAATCGATTCACTGAGTCGAATCCAGATGTATTCGAATCCTTGATTCAATTTATGTATAAATAGATCCACAAATGACAATCTCAATCATTAACAAGTCGAATTTTGAAGAGTCAACATGGATACTTATTGTGCATATTTCGATACCCAAGGTTTCCGAATAAACGGAATATTCCATCCTAGAGAAGTTTCTCTATTAAGTGATTTCATATCAATAAATCTTATTGTTGACAATCCTAATTGCAGCCCATCAAAGAAAGATGAATACCAAATAAACCATCTGGTTAATAAATTCCACGGATTAGATTTTGTTCCGAGACGTGCAATCAATGAGGATTATCTTGGACTAATCATCAAATTGTTCTACGAGATATCCAAAGACGGAGATAAGACAATAATCGCTTGTAAATCCAAGGAAGCCCAAGAATATTTGGATAAACTTTATATTAATAATCAAAATATAGTTGAAATATATGGAGCTACACACAAAGTTATTGATAGGAATCAGAAACCTTGTATTTATCATAATGCTGACGATACCTCTTTAAAATGCTCATACAAAATTGTACAAGATATGAAATTTTTCATTGACCATTTAAATCATGATGTACCAGACTCTATTTAAGAAAACCAATAAATATTTTTTGAAAATTAAAAATGAAGCCCTATTTTATTTATTTACACCATCCATTTACAATGTTAGTTGCTGGTCCAACTGGTTCGGGAAAAACCAGATGGATTATGCAGCTAATTGCAGGCGCGAATAGATTTTCATCTCCTCCACCACAAAAAATAACTTATTTCTACGGTGAATACCAAAGTATTTTCGGTTCAATCAAAGACGTTAACTTTATTAAAGGTTTACCAGAAAATTTAATTGAAAAATTTGACGGAACTGTACCTGAATGGATTATCATCGATGATCTTATGTCAGAGTCAACAAACTCTAAAATAATCAGTGAACTATTCACAAAAGGTTCACATCATCGTAATCTTTCAGTTATTCTCATCGTTCAAAATTTCTTTACAAGAGGCAAAGAAAGCAGAAACATTTCTTTGAATTCTCAATATATTGTATTATTTAAAAATCCAAGGGATCAATCAATTATCACAAGTATCGGTAGACAAATGTTACCCGGTAAAGTCAGTAAATTACAAGCCATCTATGAAGATGCTACAGCAGCACCATATTCATATTTATTCGTCGACTTAAAACCTGAGACCCCAATGGAAGTTAGATTTCTATCTAATGTTTTAGGCGAGAAGGACTACATTACAACATACTTAGTATAAGAATTGAATGTTTTCATGTCAGTCAAAATGACAGTAAAGACAGCAATCAAATGCTTACCTAGCCTGAAAGCGCTAGCAAAAGCGAAAACTAATAAGCAAAGAAAACTCATTCTTGATCACGCCAACAAGTGCATTTACAGTGTCATTGCTGAAATTGCAAGAGAAACCTTGAAAGGTACTTTTGATTTATCAGAACAACGTAAAAATAAACTAAAACCGTATAAGAAGCATATACGTGCACTAGCAAGAAAATCTAATCCTACCACTAAAAAGAAAATTATTAATCAACAAGGTGGATTTCTACCCGGATTACTTGTTCCAGCAATCACTTTACTCGCAAATTTAGCTGCAAGATGAATTCAGTGACACGTATGTTTATGGTATCTGAAGATTACTTCAGACGTAATTGCGAGAAACCAACCGTAACTAATCGACTGTTAAATACAAATATTCCCCTTGATACACAAATCAAATTACTCAATGATTTTGTTTCAAGAACAAAAGATAATTTCCCAAACCAACCAGCTACTTCATTTCAATACAAAGATGAACCTAAAGATTATGAAGAGGAAGATTTCCCTCGTGAAAGCGTTTATGAAACGCCTCCACCAAATCCGCCATGGGCAACGCCTGCACCTGCTCCAAAACCGGCATGGGCACGAAGTCTAATACCTGCGACGCCTGTACGTCAAACTCCAGCGAAATTAGAAATGGCTTTGCGAAATATCCCTGGACTTTTCAATAAGAAAGGTGAAGTTTTAAGGTCTGGTGGTGATAAGGTATATGGTAGTAGATTGAGCAAGATTGTAGATCATTTAACTAAGGATGCTACCGTTCCACTACCTAACGGAGGCCCACTTGTTATTCGTAGAATAAGACGAGAGTTTCCTCATTTAGTAAAGCATATTAGAAATCCGCGTGCAATTGACATGATAACGACAAAGAAGAGATGGAATTAAGCAAAATATATTTCGATCCTAAATCACCCGGTTCATTCGGTGGAGTTAAAAAATTGTACCAAGTAGCGAAAGAAGTCAATCCAAAAATCAAGTTCAAAGAAGTTGATGCTTGGATTAGAGATCAAGATACATACAATCTATTCAGAAGATCAATAAAAAATTTCCCAAGATTACCTATTCTAGTTGATAGAATAGATGAGCAATGGCAAGCAGATATTATGGATATGACTTGGTTAGCCAAATCAAACAATAATATTAAATACTTATTAAATGTTATTGATTGTCTTAGTCGATATGCGTGGAGTATTCCTTTAAAAGATAAATCAGCCTTATCGGTTATCAATGCATTACGAAAAATCGAAAGAAAACCTGAAAAACTACAAACTGATCAAGGAAAAGAGTTTGTAAATCGTTACTTGAAAGAATACTTAACAAATAATAATGTTAATCATTTCACATCGACTGATGATGTTATAAAATGTGCGATAGTTGAAAGATTCAACCGTACTTTACGAACAAGGATTTACAGATATATGCATTTTAAAAACAGTCAACAATATATTGATGCTTTAGAGGAAATCATCGATGCATATAATTCATCTTATCATCGAACAATCAAAATGTCACCTAAAGAAGCATTACTTTACCCAAGCAAAGCTCGCAGTAATATCTTTAAAGCACAAAAGAAAAATTTGAAGAAACAAATTCCATATAAAGTTGGTGATTTCGTACGCATAACTCGAGCTAAATCTATTTTTGAAAAAGGCGCAACCTCAAATTGGACAGAAGAATTATTCAAAATAATTAAAGTAAAGAAAACACCTCAAGGATACATTTACAGATTAGTTGATTGGAGCGACGAACCGATCACTTCTGTATTTTATCACGATGAGATATTTCCTGTCAAAGAACCTAATCTGTATAAGATTGAAAAAATCCTTGGAGAACGAATAAATCCACTTACAAAGAAAAAAGAATATTTCGTTAAATGGTTAGGTTATCCTAATAAATTCAATAGCTGGGTACAAAATGTCGAGTGAATACTTTGTTGATGTTGTATCAAATGCAAGTATGGAAATTTACCCTGAAAACACAATATCTAAATTCATCAATCGACTTGCAACTCCATTGCATCTTGATGGTGAATGGTCAGTAGCAGTTCAAGAAGTATTTTACCCTTTATCACATAAACCAATCAAAAGATCAATCAATTACTTCATCTCTTATCGAGGAAGGAGACCAACCGTATCAATAGACTTTGATTATCAAGAAAACGATGATGTTGAAGGAATGCTTAAAAAGCTCAATAAAAGCATA